AGGAAATGACTCCTTTAACTGAGACAAACATGTTGCTAAACCTGTAGACAGATCCATTCCATTTCCTCAACAGAACTTCACAAAGCCTACACTTCCCAAATATGTGATGGCATAGAATAGCATGGCACTACTATTTCTTAAAAAACCCTTCCCAAGATAAAGTTTTTAATCTACATTTGTAGATAACGGCCCATAGATTATTATAAAGAGGATCCCTTCAGTGGTTATATCATACCTCAAACTTAGATATTTAAACCTTACTCTGCTTTCTTTTGGTAAGTGAATGTTCAATCTTACTTGAGCCATATTGGGACATTAATTACCACGCATGTCAAGACTTGACTACCTCTGTGCTGAGTGTTTGCTCAAAAAGTGATTAGTTATTGTAATTAAAAAAAAAGAAAAAAGAAACTCCAATCAACAAGTCAAAATTATACAATTATGATGGTAGTTTTTTTTTTTCTCCTTAAAAAAAGTCACTAAATATTTAAGCTTTGAACCAAAAATCCCATTTGGCTCCACTGCATTCCTCTCCTTATGTGAGTAGATTGCTGAATCATAAAAATGAATGAGACTTGTTAGGAAGTAATCAAATAAGAAATTTAAAAAACATATATATATATATATATATATATATATAAAAGAGATTAACTAACTGAATATTCCATAAAGAAATGATTAATAGGTCTAGGGTTTGATGGGCCCTAAACAGAAGAGAAGAAGACAACCAAAAGTGACAGGGACTGAATACCTAAAATTAAAACAAACTTGAAGAAATAGTGATGAGACTATTGCAATATACATAAAAAAAGAAATCTACCATGCAGAACATGGAAGAGTACAGATTCACATCACAAGCATAATGTCTGTTTAATATGAAAGTTGCAATGTTCAGAAAGATATTTAAAATCCGATAAATCATACAAAAATAAATCAAAAACACAAAATAACATCCTAGATTTCCTCCAATCACATCCAACCAAAGATTCTGTTAAGCAGCAAAAATTATTTTTACATGTCAGATATATGAATGATTGATAAAAAGGGATTTTGGTAATAAGCAGCATCAACAGCTTCTTTGTTTGTCAGCAAACTGTCTTTGAACTTGCAATTTGATGATATAAATTACCATTAAAACTAAGGAAGCATAAAATTGTTGAATAAGACAAGATGGGAGCTTTAGGGCCACTGATACCTTTACCCCCCAAACTATGCATTCAGAATCTGATAATTCATAGATGTATTTGAACCGAGAATGAAATAAAGGGAAAGCAAATTGACCCATTAATTAGGTAAAAATTGAAGCACTTTAACATAAATCTTCTAGACCCTAAAATAATACCTTTCAGCTACTAGCAAGAGACACAATCATGACAAGAGATGAAAACCTAGCCTATATGCACCTGAAAATGCTAATGGATATATAATACCTCTTTTTGACCCCGAGTTTGTCTTCATGCATAAGTTTCTGAATGATCAACAAAACCCTTAACATAGGATCAGAATTCTTAAAGAGATAATTAAGATATTCTCTTTCCAAGATAAGTAAAAACCAGAAATTCATAGCAAGTTACAGCAGCACTGACCAATAC